ATACTACAGCATTAGTAAATATTATCATAATCGTTCACATTTTACATTAAAAACTCAAAGAAAGAATTTGTTTTGTTATTTCATGTTATGCCTCAAAGTCTAATTATAGTATTATATAGTAGTGATATAGTATGATTCTGTTTGGTTGTGGTTGGTGCACTACATTGATCTTACTTACATGACAGTTTGCTGCCTTTTTTTAAAAATTTGCAATAACGCTTGAGTGGACTTAAACCTAACAACACAAAATCTACGGATGACTGTCACGTGAGTGGGCCACATTAAATATTCGTTCATCTTCATTATTGTCGTCAATATCATTAGTTAAATGATGAGAAATCAGAGATAAGGCTGGGGTAATCATATACAGAACAAATTACAAAGTTAGGGAAATAACCATTAATCACCTGTGTGCTTACAAGCCTTCAAGTTCAATTGAGCTGCTGAGACGATAGCGCATCATAATTATTTTAGAGAATCTCAGAAAGTGGCCACTACAGGAGGCATTAAGTTATAGATGAGCAGAAAGGATGCTCTGTTCTAACTAATTATGGCGAGGACTATACGAGATCATGCTCAGATATTCATTGATATGATCCTTCCATACTAATACCTTTATGCTCATCAGTGAAGTGAGGATTTTCTGGTATTAAAGGTTTTCCTCCAATTCACTGGTAGATTTTTTTCATCTTCTGTACAAGTTCCTTCAACATCTAATGAAATCATCAAAGTTTTTGATCATTTTGCAAAACTCCATCCATCTCTACAAATCTTTAAACATGAAAAAAACTGACTTCACTCGGCCACAAACTTGCAGCCCGTTCTTAATAGCAGTTCATCAAGTCATTATTAGCGTAGGTGATTCATGCTGAACTGAAATCTCACATTGTTCCTGTGGGGAGGCAAGTGTGGGGACAAATAATGGCACTAGATGATTAGAGCAAATCATAGAGTCATGGGGAGGTGTGTTACAGTAGGTGGAGCAGGAAAAGAAGGAGGAGAAATGAGTGGTAGAGGAAGATGGAGAGATATCCAATGAGTAAGAAAGCACTCAGATAACTTTAGAGCGATTGACTGTGTCATTAATCACAGTTTTCCCAGGTGAGTGGCTGAGGAGAGAGTACGCTCTAATGTGAGCACATCGACAGTGGCCTCCATTATTAATATGTTCTGTATAGATACTCTGCTGGTTGCACAGTTTGTAAAGCACACCTTAGCTAAAAAAGCTCTAAAGCCTCTAAGAGGACTTTATTGGACACCTGTAACAAATGTGCTAATTTTGTCCCTACTCATTCAGTGTTTGGCTGAATAACACGGTGGACCCAAATACTACTAAAATAAAATTAATTTTCTAGTCCAGGAAAAAGACATTGATCCTCCACACTGATATATTCCACACACAACAAATGAAGACTTTCTGTAAAACCTAAACCTTAACAAGGTGGTCACGTTCAGTCTGTCAAGAAATAATTAAAAATCTGCTCTGACATTAGTGAATGACATTGAGATTGTTTTCCCATTTTTACTTAATTGAATGAGAGTGAAATGACCCAAGTCCTGCCGTGATAATTAGCTGTTAGACAGCTCATATAGAAAATCTATTGGTCTCAAAGAAAGACGCATGTCTCTGGGTGCAAGCTGCCAATCCTGTATTCAGAAATGCCTTGGTAGGCCATTTGTTTTTTTATTGTATTGGCTAGATGTAGCCACTGACCAGCTCAAGGAAGACAATAGGAGCTGGACTATTGGTTCAGTAAGTGGAGAAAGAGAGAGAGGGTAATGCAGAGTATAGATTGATGGAGTGGATATATTGCTGTACAGAGCAGAATGTGCTCAGCAGGGCAGAATCAGACTATCAAGTACCATAGGATAAAGCATGTAAAATATCCAGTCAGACAATGCCCGCTCCAGGATACTGCCTGAAGCACAACAAAATAAAGCATCTTAATGTGAAGGCTATTGTTCTATTTGTCTGCATTTGTGAAAGGTCCAACCCCATGAATCCCTTGTTGGCTTCAACAGCAAATGAATTTGAGGAATATGTAAGACCAAATTTATAGTCACTTGGTTACTTCAATCAGTCCTGTCCAATCAGAGTTACAACTGGAAGTGCCTCCTGGGGAAACTGCTGACAGAGCCGAGGAACACTTAATCCCACTGATTAAATGCAAACATAAACTGAATGGAAATCAGATTCTATCATGTTTTAAAATTAAGGTTATATTTTTTTAATCAGTGTCTATTTTTGTATACCTTTAGTCTCCATTCAGTTCCAGGAAAAAACAAAAACAAAACAACAAAAAAAAAGAAAAACACCATTAACAATGACATGCACAAATCCAATTGCAATGTCCATGCAATCATCTTAAAAGCATGAGACATTCAGTTGCCCAAGTTTGTGCTTCACAGCAGTCAGACCTGATGCACACCTGTAAGCATTCAGGTAATGAATTAGCGCTGCCTTATAATTATTAATAATAACAATATATCTAAATAAATGACTGACCACAACAACCCACTGTGTAGACAGTTAACCAGCCCTGTGAGTCATTTTGGCCTCAACCTTGCATCTTTTGTCCCTGTACTCAATTATTTTTCATCCATGTGTAGCTACTGCCACCCAGTGGTCAAAGTCACCCACTGCCTCCACTGCTGCACCACAGCCATAGCTTTAATGAGGTCAAAAAATCTTGATGTAGTTGAACTGAACTGAAATTACTTAAATGACTCCTTGCGCTCCCCTCAAGTCTGATTTAAGTATGTCTTCACATTAGCAGGATTTTGTGACTTCACAACTGGTTTGGAGCCAGCTGTGGTTCATTATGCAAGTCACACATGAGGAAATGGATATTTCAGTGATGTTAAACTGCTGAACTTTGATAGATACTAGATTCTTCGATGAGAGGAGAAGAGGTAGATGTAGTTTTATGAATCTTTAACTGGGTAATTCAACTTTTTTGTGGAATAACATATCAGACACGCTATTATTCAAGACAGAGTATTTTCATTTGTCAAACACAGATGGGATATTAAACTAAAACTGATAAACTACACATATGTATCTAAGTGTGAACAGCATTTGTTGCCCCTTATTGTCATGTCAAAGTCACGTTGTTGTTAATGGTTTTGCAAACGATCGTCACTGCCATAGATGTTGCACTAAACCACCAGCATCTCAGACCAAAACAAATGCTTTGTCAGTCACACCTCCTCCACTCCCCACTAAACACACAACAACAACCACAACTGAATACTACTTACTTGTACTTTGTGTACAGGACAGCCAACAAAAACAACCTAGCCACAGTCATTAGCACCCTAGCATTGCCTGACACGCCGCATGGCCAGCTAGCCAGCTAGCGATAGCAACATTTGCCAAAAAAAAATCATAACATTAACAACATCAAGTTAGCTAACTTTATCATGGCTACTGCAGCCGGTCACTGATGAAATCAGACGTGACATTATTTAGCCATCAAGTTACTTACACTTGGAGAAGACAGTTCCGAGTCCAGCTGGAACCCTTTAGCAGCTAGCCCAGTTCTCCATCTCCCTAAAGTCAGACCAGTATCTCCTCCATGGTCGGACTGGAAAAGTCTTATCAAACCAGGCAAATACGCTGATGGAGCTGGTAAAAATTAAAAAAAAAACTTTATGGATGTTTTGAGGTCCACAGGTAGTCCCTATGGCCACTCCACCTGTGTACATCTCTTTCTTTGACTGAGGCCTTTTTTAGACACAAAAAACGTGATTTCTTCAGTGGAGGCACTTGGACCTGAACCTGCACTGTGCCATCTCACCTGTGGGCGGGGCTTGTGTTTTTTAAACATGGGGAGGGCCCACGGTTTGACAGGAGGGAATCACATGCACTAACATGCACATGTACATGCACTAACATGCAAGTGCTGCCAGACCGGAAACCAAAACAAAGACCAGAGAAACTCAGATTACAACACACACAGAGGAGGTGCGATTTAGTTCTCTGCTCAGGACACCATTTCTGCACTATAACTTTACATAGAAAAGGTTGTTTGCTGCTGTATTATTGTTTAAAATCTCTTTTACAGAACCTAATGCAATGCAGGGGGGATTTTCTTTGAAAATGTCTTCAAGGATGCGATCATCACCATTCATTATCTTACTTTCGAGAGCAGGCAGCCTTTTCTGATGGAACAAATGGAAAGTATTGACTTCACCATATCCCCTTAATCTACTTCCTTGCTTGTTTTCTGGGGCTTTTTGTTTCCCAATGATGCCATTATTTTTTAACAGCTCTCTATCAATTGTTAAATATTGACACGTTTTTAAATGCACCATGAATATAAATTGTTCATTGTGTTGAACCCCAGCACGACTGAATCTCTGCAAAGTGATTTTCACAGTATTGAAAACAGTGACAGCCTGGAGTGTAGCATATCAACCTAAATGATCAATAATTGTATTTAAGGGGATAAAATGTGCAAAACTATAAGAAGCATCACTTTGGTCCCTCATGCAGAAACCACCTCTTCCTCTCGCCTATCAGCATCATTTATCATCAGCAGCAGAACTGTCATAATTGTATCCACGAGCAGATTTCACACAGTGCTCCTCTACTTGCATTAAGCTGTAAATACCTCTGAAGGGAATATTATCTCCATTTCCTTTCTATTTAGTGTCATCTTTGTGCCATTTCAAATGTGTAATGTAGCATCATTGCTCCTACTGAGCTTTTATTACTTGACCACATATTAAAATTATTTTAAAAAAGCAGCAACAGAACAATAAACCTTACACATAACTATCTATAAAAAACTCATTTTTTTGTATGTTGACTTTTTAAATATTCAAAAGAATTTCTTGAGTTTGGGATTTTGAAATCAAGGGAAATGAGGCAGGGCACAACTCAAATATTTGTTCATGTAATTGCTGTCATTGTGCGAACTGATCTACGATGTGTCCTTGTTGGATTCCGGGACAGGAACACAACTTCCTGTGCTGCAGCGACAACCTCACTGAAAGCACACAAACTGTATGCGTCAGTGCACCATGGAGAGAGCTGCTGTGGTGTCGGGCTGCAGGACTCCCTCAGTGCCAGAGTACAACATCTCCACCTCCACCTTGGCCTTCAACCAGCATTTCATCACAACTGCCAAAGGAATTCTCCTCCTGGCTGAGATAGTAAGTGTGAATATGGATTTGAAGTTTTAAGGCCTGATGACTGCCTCATTAGAAAAACACAATAGAGCCAATGCTGAAAAGTTAATGTTGGGACATCTAATTTTTACTTTTAATAATTACAATTACAATTAATAATCATTTTGATAATTATCAGAAAAGTTTGTTGCACTTATGTTAAGAATGTATGTTCTTACCAGGCAATGCAGAAACAAACACCCTCTGAGACCAGAGACAGTTTAGGGTGTTTCTACTCTACAGTATAATCTAAAAAAGTGATTCATAAAATTATTCTATTTACTCCACTGTTTTTCCATAAAATGAATGTGAAATTTATTTCAGTAATAATAGTATAAATGGAATTTTGTGGTATTTCTCAGACAGTATCACAGACACTCAAGAAAAAAAAGGAAACCAAAAACTATGTTTCTATGAAAATAGGAAGTTGACTAAAAACACCAAGCAAATCAATTCTTCCTCCCTTCTCTCCCTCATTGTCTCTCTTCCTTTCCAAATCAGCTGAGGGAAAAAGACAGGATAGCCTTTCTGTAAATACAGTCTGGCTGGCTGCCATGCAGAGGCTGTGCACGCCACATTTAGGGGAATCTGATTGGGACACGTTCAAATAATCAGAATGGAAATGCAGATACTAAAAAGATGTTTATTTTGGAAATTATACAACTGATTGTGAGATTATACTATATATAGGTTCTAGCTTTATTAATAAATAGCTTGAAATCGGGTTAAATTGGTATTGTACAAGAGATATCATTTCAAAAGAAACCAACCCGGCTCACAGCCATGTATCACATCAGACCACGTTTTCCTCCTGTGATATGAAACATCCAGCAGGAATTTTTTGTTTTGAAACAGGAAGGGTGGATTAGGAATAGTGTTGGGAGCAACAAGATTTAGTTACTCACCACTGCAACACTTGGATGCAATGGAAATGGGAAAAAAACAGAAGACAAAAATGACAAGAAACTCATTTTTGTTGTGGTTCTTTCTCTGGTTTCTTTCAATTTTCTGGAATTTTATTCTTGGCGAAGTTGCCCATCAACTACCTCAAAATCTTACATTTCATGTCCGATACCAATCTCCTTTTCACAACATTAAAAGATCAGCATTTGTTCAGCCAGTGAAAAAATACACCATAATACTATCCCCTCTCCCAATGTTTCCAGTTTTATCTTTTCCTCTTTCACTTTGTGTCTCAATAAGCTTTATTCACAGTGTGACAATATAAGCCAGAACTACCAAACATTAAATTAAATCAAATCCTCTCCTTTCTTCCAGGTGTGTGGTATGTTAGTGTGGATTCTGGTTGGGGGTACACACTATTTTCATCTGTCTGCTCTTTGCTGGGTGATGTTTGTTGCCATCTTGTGCTGGATTCTGACTGTTTCCCTGTTTATTATTTACCTCATTGGAGCCCACAAGAGGATACCACAGGTCCCCTGGACTACAGTGGTAACACATACACACACACACACACACACACACACACAGACACACACACCCAGACACACACACACAGACACACACACCCAGACACACACACACAGACACACACACCCAGACACACACACACAGACACACACACCCAGACACACACACACAGACACACACACCCAGACACACACACACAGACACATACACACAGACACACAGACACACACACAAAATTTAGAATTTAGCTCAGGTTTCTCCCATTTCTCTTGATGAAGATGGATCTCCCTTAATGGAGCCCTAACCTTAACCAAGGTGCTTTTGTTGTGTAAACCTAACCACAGACAGGACTGTGGTTAGAGACTCCAGTGTCTGCACTCCACCGCAACCACTTACTGTTGATGGCACTGTTGTTATTAAATGTAGCACTTCATTCATTAAAAAAAACAAACACACACACACACACACACACACACACACACACACACACACACACACAGAAACAAACGTTGCCTCTGAATATATTCCAGGTAGCGATCATGTTGTTACTCCACCATAACATCAGCAGTTTAGTAGTATATGAACATGATTTCTATCAGACAGGTTTGGGCTGCTTTGTCTTTTTCTCTGTGATTCACTCTTTTGTGTCTTTGTCTCCTCTAGTCGCTGTGTTTGAACTGTAGTGCTGCAGTTCTCTATCTGGTGACAGCAGTGGTAGATGCTCTGACAGTCACTGAGGCCATTAGGGGGCGACATAACTACAACTGCTGGGCAGCATCTGCGGTAAGAGCACCCCTGTCAATATGTTTGCTAACGTTCATTCAAAAAATCTTTAGTTATTATCTATGTATTTCATGTCCTCACTGTAGTTTGTGTGTCTGCATTACAAACAACAAAACAAGAGCAGCCCCGTGCTGGAAAAACCACTGAAGTGCAGGCTTCTCCCGCATGAATTTCAGAAAAATGAGGGAAATGACAACAAGCACACATGCAGTGTAATCCAGGGTTTCTGCAGCATAGTGTAACCTTACAGAGATACCACAGAGGACCCCAAGGTCATGTCCTCAGTATTGGAATGAGGAGATTTGAATGACATGTGGAGCAGTTCAATTTACTAAAGTAAAAAGTACACACGGTGGCTTTTTAGGGCTAATTTACACAATGGTTCCTCTCTATAAAGTTAGGGGACACACAAGAGATAGATTTTGAAAAACTATAAAAATCAAAGCAGCATAGTCTGCCTCTGTTATAGGTGTATCTCCAGAAACACTGGACCCTTCTTAATGATGACATCAGCAGGGGTTATCTTTTCAAACAGAGCTACAGAAGACATTATAAATGTATATATAAATATATATATATATATATATATATATATATAAATGTACATATAAATGTGCGCATAAAACCAGTGTAACATACCTTTAGGAAAAAATAAACAAATGAATAACATAGTAGGCTGTTATAATGATTAGAATTAGTCATTTGCCACCAGGAGCGGTGTTTTGAAACAGCTTTCATTCAGTCAGTATGAAAATCTAAATATAATCTACTCTAATGAAGAAAATGTGGAACAAAATCTTCTTTTAGTGACTTGTCTTAACTTTGTGCAGGTGGAATTTTGACACGTTTTCTTTGTTCACATTTTGTTCTCTATCTTTCCATGTTCATTTTTTTCTCACCTCTTCTCCACCTTTCACTCTCTCAGTTCTTTGCTTTTCTGACCACACTGTGCTATGCAGGAAGCAGTTACCTGAGCTTCTGTGACTGGAAAACCACAGAGGAGCAGCAGTAGTCTCATTGGCTCTTGTTTCATGGCAACATTGTTCAGACTTCCACAGTATGAGGAACATGTCTGACTGAGACAGATCTACCTTCAGACACGACAAGGCCAACTTGTATAGAGATAATGATCATGATAGAATACCTTTGTTGCGTGTCATATTGTGAGCAGGACAATAACTGAAGACTGACAAAGGTCGAGTTCAATGAGGGCACAAATCAGTTCGAAAACACTGGAATCTGACACAGTAAAAACTGTAGATGAAGTGTGTTGTACCCACAAGACAAATACAGTCAGCTGTCTGCACTTTTGGACAAGAAGAAAAAAGAAAAATGATAAGACATAAAAAAGAATGAAGTGATGGGTGTGTGTGGTAGACAAATGCAGATGTGTAACAGGCTGCTAACTTTCTTTTCCTATATCTAACTGTGTTGTAGTTGTTGGGTAGATTTTTTTTGCCTTTTTCTGCCTACCCCAGCTTTAATCCTTTTTTTATTCAGGTGTCATGTAATCTTTTCCAAATGTTTTTCTCCATCACTGTCACATTCAACAAGTTGTTTTCAAGTTGAGGAAAAAAAAACTCACTCACTCATTCATTCATGAATCATTAATTTTACAAAACATTGTATGATGCATGCAACATTTTACAAATCTCTCCAATTACAAACACGCAGAAATAAAAATCTTTCAGTTCATTTCAATCATCTCTTGTTATCCTTACAGTTGAAATTCCACAAGATACATGTTATTTTGATTAAAAGTGCAATACATTACTTCTCTTTGTCCTTCAATGATGCAGATGTTCAAATGCTCATGCTCCTTCATTTTCATACATAAAAAACTATCAGCTACTATGTGCATGGTTAGGTCCTGTATGTTTGCCTGCACCATACAGGGTTACGGACTAAGTTTATCTTCAACAGTTACCATTAAACCTGTTTTTACATTGTTTATAAAATATTGTTTCATCCACACAATTTTCAAAGGTCTTGATCCAAAAGTGGTGCAATATTACCCAGTGCCCATATGTTAACACATATAGGCTATGTAGGTTGATCAGTGATCAACAAAAAAGTAGTTTATTACTCAGTTTTTCGCTTGATCATTGTGTGCTAGCGTCAGTGCTGTTGCCTTGATCCATGTAGACCACTCCCCAGTGAGCTCCTAGTGAAGTAATCCCATTGCTATTATAGCGGCCACTCAGCAGTTTGAGCTCCGCGTCCATGTGGGTTGGGTAGAAGTTAAAGGAGTTCTGCAAGACAACATCAAATGTTAATAAATGACCACAAATATTATTATTAATGATTGTAGCAAACAGAAAGGGTAGATGACCTGTACAGGTTGGCCGACGGTCAGAGAGCGCCCTCTGGAGGTCACAAATATCACCTGATAGATGTAGTTGCTGTGGTATTTACCAGAGATCTGAAAAATGCAAGACAGTGTGAGCACACAAACACTGCAAGTGCATTTAGTTAGCCCTCAATAAGTAAACAAATGATGTACAATAGCCATTTCAATGAAAAATGCTACTACTACTAATATTTCCTGGACCTATAAAATAAAATATATGTATAATACTAATAATATCTGTTAATGTCTACATATATTACAATTAGATTTAAATGATTAAAGAAATAGATGACATTTAGATGTTAACATTACACAAAAAAGAATTTGGAACAATACCAGACCAGTATTTTAGTATCAGTGAAATCTCTGACCTGAACAATGACCTCTCCGTCAAACAGGTTCAACTCTTGTGCGTTGCCAACTGCACGTCCAATCTTTTTAGACCAAAAAAATTCGTAACGCAGCTGGATACTGCAAGGACACACACAAGGGACAGAGAGGAAACACACTGTTAAACACAGAGGATGATATGTACTAAATAGGTGAGGGCAGATTAGTTACAGTCATAATGTAGCCAGATATTGTAATAAATCAAACAAGGGCAAATAAGCAGTGATAAACAATGAAACCATCAGAAGCAAAAAGGGACTGTATGAAAATGATTGAGGAGCAGAGGGGAGCTGAATCTTACGGTTTGCCATTATGGTACCATTTTAAACTTAAAATGTTAATGAAACAATATTTTTCGCAATATAAATAAAAGAAAAAAAAATACACCATCCTCCACCTTTTTTTGACACCTCTCCCCCCTAATAATTCCCATACAGTTCCTAACACATATGGACAAGAAGGAGGAAAGGCTGAAGACTTACCCAGTGATGTAGGCATTGTTGATTTCCCAGACCCGGACTGCTGTGATCCTTCCCTCTCCCTCTGAGGAGAAGGAAGTACCACTACCACCTCCAACTGCAAGAGAGTAGGAGTAGTGCACCAAGGCAGCTGGAGAGGAAAAAAAGATAGTAATTATGTGAAGGAATAGACACTACTACTACTCTTGACTCAACCATTCATATAAAATCTTAGTATGGAGAATAAAAAGTGCGTAAAAAGGCCTCAACAGTTGGGTTAACTTCTTACGTTTTGCCAGGCAGCTGGCGCAGAGCACAGCAAAGACGAGGAGGGACAACATTTGTGTGTGTGAGGGCGTCCAGAAACAACACTGAAATTAGAGACATTGTCATCATTATTGTCATCGTCATATAATCATCATTATCTATAGAACTTCTTTCAGTCATCAAACCAATCTGATATTTGCTTTTCAGAAAGAGTTTCTCAACATTTTATATATGGACTAATATCAGTGTAAAATAATAATAGAATCATTAGCAATACAAATAATTGTATTCTTCAGCTGCAGAAAGATGCTGTTAAAGTTGAGAGTTACATCCCACAGAGTTAAAACCAGCAGATAGAGTTCAGACTCACCTGCTGAAAACAGCTGTAGCCTGAGCAAAGGATGAGCAGACACTGCAACACTGATACTTTGACACTGGCATTTATATCGCCCAGCCTCCCCCACGACACACACATTTTATCATGATGACACAAACACACAAACACACTAGCATTCCTACCTGACAGCCTCTGATAGCTGAACAATAGCATCTGCTTTTGTTTTAGTGACAGAGTATGGTTCTGGGAATTAGAAATTGAACAAAGAGAAGAATTTTGAAGTCCATCACTAAGTTCGGCCCTATATTTTTCATCTGACTTATGCCAAAGGAAGTCTGACCTTAAACATTTCGATAACTCCAGCATCTCTCATGAATCTGTGTCCCATAATTTACCAACTTAAAATGAGTGCAATTAAAACCTGTGTAACAAAATTCTGATTCAGTTTGGGTCAGTAAAGCAGAATTTCAAAAGATCATTCTTGACCTTAGAAAAGTAGTTGGCTAATCTTATCTCACCTCAAGGCACATTTAGTAGCTACCATGGAGATCACATCATATGATCTTTATCAGCAAATGTCGTTTGGCCAGTTGTCACAAAAATTGAAAAGTTGAAACTTACATTTCTGTCTGTGCACTTTAAAGTCTTCTTGTCTTTAAACTCTATCATCTGATGAAAAATTAGAACAGCTAAAGTTGAAGTTGTTAAGTCAACAAATTTTTCTTGGTGCTGGTGTCAGAAAGAAGTGCACAAATCAGGTTTTAAAGTTTTCTTCCACAAAATGATTATTATCTAAAAATAATAATGATAAAGATTTATTTTTTTGTGCGATGGCCTCTTATGTCCAGAGACAATGTTTTTGAATGACCCCCTCACCTATGTATGACACAGTCCTTAATGTCATGTCGTTTAAATATATTCAAATGTCTCAAAATTTATTTTTTTCAAATTGGGATTTTTCTGCAAATAATAGAATTCACTGAAGAATTTAATGATCTTCTCCTGACAAAAGAGATCTTCCTCCTGAGCTGATGAAGCAAGACATTTCTTGGAAACGAGAGATCCATCAGTGTCACATAAAACCAGGAAATAACATGAGAAAAACATGAGAGGGAATTTCCAGAGATACTGGTACTACCGGAATGACCATACTTATAGCGTAAAAAAATTACCTGCTTTCCTGTCGGACTTCGTCATGAACCCTGTACATGAGACATGAAAAGCCACATAGACAGAGAGAGAGGGAGGGAGAGAGATAGAGCAAGTGAGAGAAAGAGAGAGAATTTCAGTCAGTCACAGTCATCATCACTTCTCACAGTAGTTCTTCAAAACAAAATAAAGCCTTTTTCATCCTGAAGGAATCTTGTTTATCCAAGATGCTTGAAATATATATAGAGAAAGTGTATAATACACTATTTACTAAATATTCGTCCTGAGAAAGAAAAAGAGTAAATACAGAAAAAAATACTAAAGGAAGGTGCAAAGTAAAAGTGAAGGTTCAATACATTTGCAAATGTGCTATAGGTATCACTGTTCTGGCCTGGAATGTAAGGGTTTTATGATGAATCAATTATTATTATTACTGTTATTATTATATTTCTACCACACTGGACTTCCTTTTGAGCACATCAGAATATAATGACAATTAAGTTGAGTGCTGACCTTTGTGTGTTTGTTTTTTATTCCTTTCTCTTTTATTATTGTCATTGCGTTTGTACAGCATAATAAAATGACACCTTGCGTACCTTCACTGGGTGTCATAATTATTTTGCTATTAATGCTTGTTTCTGATGTCAAGGAAAACAAAACAGGAAATGGCCTGTGACCATAGGCATATCTGACATGAAGGAATGCTGTATTTCTGGTGGTTGGTGCTGACAGAGATCACACCCCGGAGATTTATGGTTGAACTAAAAACACAGCTGTCAAAAAAATCAGTAAAAAAATAGCAGCTCACTGCAAGAAGCTGAAAATTGAAGAGTTGACCTACAGAAGTGTCTGGCCTGCCATCATGAAAATATCTGTGATGACCCCTGGGGTCCTCTTAGGGTTTGGGTCCTTTTACTGGTCTGTCTCATTGTCTGCAGCTGATTGGTGTCTCTGGAACATCTGTCACATGTGTTCCAGGGAGTCCTGGATGCCAACATATCTCTCTCTGCTGCTTTCAGTAGGCACACCAAGTTTTGGGTTTGGTGATGTTGTCTTAGTTTAATTAGTTTAATTAGTTCTTACCACACCCGCACTCACATACATCATTCACGGACACCACGCCACTCATACTGAGAAGGTTTAATTTGGCATCTTAATTTGGTCTGATCTGGTGTGATAAAAATATTCTTTATTAATCGTAACTATGGCGTCTCTCCCTTTTGTTTTGGCCAGGGTCAGAACGACAACAAACACCCTTTATTGGTCACAAAGTCACAAAGTACATGACCAGCAGGAGAGAGGGGAAGGAAAAATGAAAGACCATTCATGGCTTTCATGGAACAGAACGCTGTTCTGAGATCAAATGTAAGAGAGATGTTTCTTGGGAGCTAAATGCCTCATAAACTTCAGTCTTTGACCCAGAGGCCAATGGTTATGTTTTTTGTATGTATGGGTTTGTGACTTGACGTGATGTGAGCCCATTCATCTTGGGGAAAATTTTTGAGTTTGACAAAACCATTTTCTCTTCTTACTAATAGCTGGACAAAAGTCAGAAAATTAACAGGACAACACAAGGAAAACAAAACAATAAACACTGGGCAATTACAAAAGTTTTATCAGAGGACAAAGGGATGTAGGTTGTCTGTGTTGATGCTGGTGCTTGTGTGGAAAGTGTGTGTTTTTTGTTTTTTTTTAAGTATATTTTTTGGGCTTTCTTATGCCTTCATTTGATAGTACAGTAGAGAGACAGGAAATGGGGAGGCAGAGAGAGGGGGAACTACATGCAGCAAAGGCCGTCCGATGCGGGACTCGAACCGGGGCCAACTGCAGCGAGGAAAGTAGCCTCTACACATGGGGCTCCTGCTTAGACCACTACTCGACGCCCTGGAAAGTGTGTGTTTATGTGGGTGTGTTCCACAGTGTCAGACTGGAAAGAAGAATCTACGGTGGAGGGGAGAGAGGGGAAAGGAAACGGTGAGCAATGGGAAAGTATGGCGGAGAGAAAGAAGTAAATAAATAAATGAACAAATAAATATATACTTATGCTAATACTATTTTATCTATACCTCCATCATTGCTACTGCTACCATTACCTTGACACATGGCACTTATGGTATATATGGGTCATGACAGTATAAGAATTTAGGTTTGACATCTTATTTACCTACATCTCAGATATTTTAAACCTGTCTTTCTTGGAGGGCAACCTGATGTTGTCAGTGTGAACACACACACACTCAGTGAAAACATTTACATTTATATTTACTCATTTGGCAGACACTTTTATCCAAATCCAACTTTCAAGTGAAGAACATCGCTAAAGCTTCAGGGCTGTAGGAAACCTCAGTATAAGTAATAAGTATTATGAAATAGATGTACTATTTCATAAGTGAAGGGGGGTTGTACAAGGAAGTGCACCAAAAGTGCATAGTAAGTGCTAGTTAGACATGTTAGGGTTTTAAGAAAGACAGTGCTCTTGGAAGAGATGAGTTTTCAAGACATTGTGAAAGATAGAGAGGGACGCCTCTGCTCTGATAAAATTCGGTAGCTCATCCCACCATCGGGGAACCACAGATGAGAACAGTCTGGACTGAGACTGCCTTGTGTGCAGGGATGGCAATACCAGACGACATTCCTTGGAGGAACACAGTGGCTGAAAGGGAGCATAAGCCTAGATGATTGATTTAAGCAGATGGGAACAGACCCAGAAGTCATTCTGAAGGCAAACATTAGTGACTTGAATTTGATTCAGGGTAGCCAGTGTAGGTCGATGAATAGTGGAGTGACATGTGCCCTTTTGGGCAGATGGAAGATGAGGGGGGGGTGCAACATTCTGGACCATCTGCAAGGTTTTCATTGTGCACAAAGGAAGGCCCACCAGAAGAGCATTGGAGTGATTGCAGTGAAGAGATAACCATGACTTGGACTAAGAGCTGGGTGATGTGCTGTCTCACATAAGGCCTGATTTTTCTGATTTCACAAAGAGCAAAGTGGCATGAGATGGAGATGGATGCAAAATGGTTGGAGAAAGAGAGCTGGTCATCAAACAGTAACCGTAAGTAAAAAGTGAACAGTAACTGTAGGAGGAGGTTGGGGTGGACGGATGGGTCAACAAAACACAGGAATATGACACAGGAGACTGGTGTGTCAACAGTATAGTGCTAATATGAGAAGGCATGCGAGTGGTTCAATGTATCAAAGGCTGCTGATCCACCAAAATAAGAAGTGAAGACTCACCTGCAGCTCTGGCTGTCTGGCTCTGGCAACTACTGGTAAGAAGTTTTGACACATCGCTCTCAGTGGGAGGGCTGAAAAAGGAGAGACGTGAGGTTTGTGGCAGTGGCCTGAAATTAGCCAGGTTTCTTTGCCTATTGCATAATTATGCTTTTGTACGTATGCCAGTGACCACAGGAATGGGGTTGAAGCACATAGTTACAGCGCTAAGTCACTATGTTTATGGCCTTGCTGAGGTGGACTGAACACGAGGGCCGACGCTTCTGCTGCTACTGAAATAGCATGAGCTTAATTGAACACAGCTGTTCACATGTCAGTTTGATTGCATGTACCTGAGTAGGCCTACATTCTCTGAATTAGCAGCACAATATGATCGGTTTCTCAGGGCGTGAGTTTACACACCCCTGCTGCCCGAAACTCGCAACAACCGGCAAAAACTTCCAAAATTACGCAGTTACTATGCTTTCCAAGTAGTAGCAGGGACACCGTACACAGGAATATCTGTAATAAGATAGTAAGAAGTAGCACCAGGACCAACACCAGCCCTGCTGTTGTGGCTGGTAAATAATATCACAGCACTTACAGGATACAGTTGTCAATAGCACGTTTACAACTTAAAATTGTTTCATTCTCAAACTGACAGTAGGGTTGTCACAATACTAGAATTTGAAACTTGATACCGATACCCAGGAAAATACTTGATATCATTTTTG